AGAGAGATAGTCGAGTAGGGAGAACCCCTAGATATCTCTCCCTCGTTCTCCGTGTCCCCTTTGGTCTCCACTTTGGTCCTCCGGGTGGCTTGCAACCGGTACGGGCAAATTGGGGTAGCGTGACGGGCAAAATTTTCGAACGAAGGCAGGCTCGCATGCAGACGATTGCCGGTCAACGAGTTCCTCTCTTGATTGTGTCGTTAATTGGATGGTAGCGAATTTATACTTTGTTCGTGAGACAATTACAGATTCGTCCAGAGTCCCGGGTGGTGTGTATCACCGGTCCCTCTTCTGCTTCGGTTCCGAGGACCGACCCGGCCTGTACCGGGGAGGACCGGTTCCGAGTAATTTTCGAAAATTACCCACTCTCGGGTAAGCGGATACCCCGCGCGGAAAGGACTTAATCGCCGATCTAGCCGCGTTGCGCTTGAAATTCATTAAAATTCCCCCGGAAGGAGGGAGAAGAGTACGTAAACTGAGAAAGCCTGTGACTTTCTTTCCACCGAGCGGAACTAACACCTTCTCATCTCGGAGAACGTTCGTTTTCTCGTTCTCCAGCTCTCGGTGTAAATCCACTTGTCCCCGCCGTTGCCGAGATCGTGGATCGAGATCGGCCTGGAAATCGGCGACGGTGAATCCAAGGGCGGCGAAACTCGCAGCTCGCCCCTGGCGGACGAGATCGAGGGTGGTGGTGACGGCCGATGGTGGTGGTGGCGATGGCGGTGGTGGTGGTGGTGGTGGTGGTGGCAATGGCAATGGTGGCGGCGGCGGTGACCGCGCCGGAGGGGAACGAGACACGGAGGGGAGACACGCGTTTCAGGTCAGAGAGAGAGGGACGGAACGAACGAACCGCGGGAGGGAAAGAGAGAACGGAGAAAGTCGGAGCAGCGAGGAAGTTATGTCCGTTGCACGAACGTGGAAGGGGTTTGATAGCGTGTTGGAAGGGGAGGATAAAGACGCGTGGTAGGAGAAGTTTCGGCGGAGAGGAACGCGAACAGTGGGGGTTCCTCCAGTCGCCTTTCCTCTCCCTCGCTCTCTGCCTCCCCTCGTTCGTCTCTCACTCCCCGTGGCTGATGTACCCCCTCGATGCGCGGTGCGCCGTGATGCATCGCGCTGCCGGCCGCCTGTGCGAGTCACAAGGTATGCTCGTGCCACGAATACGAACTGCCTCTCCCAAATCAATATCAGTCGTGGAAAAAAAACGCGACTCGGCACCTATAATTGCCGAACTTCCGCGATAACCGTCTCTTCTCTCTGTCTGCTCTGTCTCTGGCCGCCTCGCCTCGCCTCGCCTCGCCTAGCCTCGTCTCGCTACGTCGCGGAGGCGACATCGGGGGCCGTCTCTCCCTTCCCGCCCCCGAACTGACGCTGCGTTAGGTTAGGTTTCACGCGCTAGCTTGATTAGGGCCTCCCTCCGTAGCTCCCCCCCCCGCGCTCCTCCCCCTTCGCTTATGGTATCACGCACGTTTCCCGCCACCCAATGTCCGCGCACGATGATTTTCACTGACTATGCCTGGCCGTGTTGTAGCCACGTGCACCAGCCGCGACAAGCTCGCGCCCGCCGCCCGTCCGAAGGTTATGCCTGCTGCGAAAACAAAGCGGCGCTTCGCTGCTGCGCTGTGCTCCGATCGAGAGAGCTCGCATGTACTTACTTGCTGTATCCGTCACACAAAGAAACCGTCACGCGTGTTTCGCCTCGAGGAGGAAAACTCGCGTTTCTCGCCCGTTTGGCCCGCTCTCCGCATGTCGGTCGTCGACACCACTCGGCGGATGCGAATTTTTCCTTAAGGGTTGAACAATCTCCGCGACGGAGACAAAGTTCCCGACGAGGAACGAGGAGGTCGTATCGGCGATTATTCACAATGCACCGTTGTGCTGACCCGATTGCGAATTATCAGG